ACTTAGACGAAGAAAGGATGGAAGTTTTAGATGTATTACTACGCCAAAAGGCACGGGTGGCCAAAGCATATAATAAGAAAGTCAGAAAGAAGACCTTTGCAGTCAATGATTATGTGTCGAAAGCAGTGTTGCTTATGGATCGAAGGGATCGAATGTTAGGGAAATGGTCACCAAATTGGGAGGGATCATTCTAAGTGATCCAAGCGTTCAGTAATAATGCATATGAGATCAAAAAGATAGGTATGGATCAGTAAATCATAAGAGTAAATGGGAAATATTTGAAAAAAATATAAGCCTATGTTACAAGATATTCGAATCCATAAGTAGGTTTCCATTAATAATTGGCCAACATGGATAGAGGGTCAAGATAGTTTATAAAAGCTCCAAACGGAGTTACAAAAGTTTGACTGAGATGTAAAATACAATTATGCAGGGAATTTGGACTTAAAGTCTTCAAAAAGGTTCTTCTCGTAAGCCACCTTGCTTTCTAGAAGGGACTTCTTCTTCCGCATTTGGTCGATCATACCTTTCAGTGCAAGGGCCATTTCGACATGGGCAATTCCTTGGGAGACTTCTTTGTCAATTACTTCCTGAGCAGGTAGAGGTTCAGCGGAGTCCAAATAGGCCTTTTGCTTTTCGACCTCAGCAGTTTTTCTTGTAAGTTCAGCCATTCGGGCATGATAGCCGGATATCTGCTGGTCAAAAAACGCAACGTTTATCAAAATGTTCTTGTTTTTTGGCTTTGAAGTCCTCAAGTTTCTTTTCAAAAAGAGAACTAAGGTACCATTCACACTTTATCTCATTGGTCTTCATCCTGATTTGAGCATCAACCTGTTTACAAACAGAGAGGTCTTTCGCCACCTGGGTAAAGAAGGCCTCAAATTCAATTAAGTATTTGGCCATAGGAGCAGGAACTTAAAACTGGGAAAGTTCGTCTAATATCTTGAAAATGTCACAGGCTATAGTTGCTTCCTCTATGACGGCGGCCAAACATTTGTCCTCAAATAGGTATGTCCCTAGCTATTGGAGTTTGAAAGTAAAAGAGTCATCCATTTATGGGTTAAGAATGGTCGTCGAATTAGCAGGGTGAGCGTCTATAGACGCCTTACGAAGCTTGAGCAGGGCCTTCAAAGTTTCTGCTGGGTTCGACTGCTTCGTCGCCTAAATCTCCTCCAGAGTAAGAGTTTTTTCAATAGTAGAGCCACCTTAAGCAGAACCTTTAGGAGTCAGATTATCCTTGGCGGCAGTAGAAATGATCGAAGGGTTTTTCTTACCACTAGTAGTTGCATTGTCCCTGCCAGCCTCATTGGTGATGTTTTGAATAAGAGGTGTCTTCGCCGCGGGATCTTCTTCTGTCGGTGCTCCCTGGAACTCATCAACTTTTTGAAGACTAAAAAGAGGCGCCGTCTCAGGAGAATTTCCAACGGTATCCATAGTATTGTCAAGTTTTTCAGCAATAGTCAAGTCGAATGCGGTATCCTGTAGAAGGAAGATTAAGTAAGAAAATACCCAAGGAATATATGAACCAAGATAGCAAAGACGATAAATACCTCAGTAGTGTGTCTTGGAGGAGGGACTTCGAAGTCAACCGATTTGAAGACCTCAACAAGATTTTCAGGAGCAGCAGGTCTAACGATCGAAGTAACCATTTTGGAAGGAGTTTTTTTACTAGGACTCTTCTTTTCTTGGCCACCGGAGTAGCCAGAGGGGATGTTGAGGTTTTAGAGGGAAAGACCCGAGATTGAGTGCTTTCATCCGACATGCCACCCTCAGGAGTCGACGTCTTCTCAAGGGCCTAACAAACAATAAGATAAGATAACAGTAGAAGACAAGTGCAAAGAAGTGTTGAAACTTGTGATACCTATGGATTCAGGACTTTTGTTTCTTTGCAAGCCTTGTTGAGGTCGACCCAGTAGCTGGTTCCCGTTTTCGAATCTGGAAAACAAGCATAAATGATTAGCTAATGACAATTAATAAAAGAGAAAAGCATAGGAGGTACCTTCTTTGAAGGGTCCTCTGTGGCACCAGCTCCCGGGATATTCTCGATAGACACAACAACTGTCGGAGTGGGGACTTCACCAGCAAGGGTAGAAAAAGTATCAACCATATTTTACAGGAAAAGGTCACGTTAAAAACATTGAGTTTGGTACTGCGACCACCAGACATTAAAGCCTTCTGTAGTAAAGAAGAATGGTTGGAAAGAAAAAACAGGTAACTCAAGGTGTTGAGTCGACCTAGAAAACTTAAGGAAATTCTTTTGGCCTGTCAGGTTTAGTCATCGACCAGCCCAAACAATATCAAAAGAATGTCGCACCAAGGACTTGGGCAGCAGCTGGCTCAAGCTAAATTAATGGGCCACCAAGTTGGGATGGTAGTTCATAAACCCATAGCCTGTATTCCCCGTCTCAATTCGGAATGATAACATAGTGGGAGTTAGAAACGTCATCCATATAGAGTTCGACATTGCTGCCTTTTTAGGGGAAACACCAGGGAATGGATTTTTGAACCACGCCAGACCAAATCGCCAATTCACGAAGGGAGCCATGCTGGGGACGAAGGAGGTTATTTCCGTAAACATATTGAGATACTTCATGAAGAGGATTTTGTTGGGAGTTTCCTGAGTGGTCATCAGAGTGAGTCAAACGCCTTCTATGGGACGTTCTTCATTTAAACACTGCATTATTGCAGACACAAGGTAACCCAGTCGGTGCTCAAAGGTGGCATTGAGCCAATATTGTAACAACTACATAGGCCCTGAAACATTCAAGGTTTTGGTGGTCTCATGGAGAAGTTTTAATCTCAAGGTAGATAGACCAAAAGAGTGGTAGATGGAGGATAATAAGAGCTTACCCAATGATACCTGTCAACCCTCATGCATTTGGATTGCCAGGTTGATGTAACTTTTGGCTATTTGCAGGGATCCAGGACAGAAAAGGTAGTATGGCAGCCAAAGAGTGAGGAAGACAATATGTTCTTCATTTGACACTTCATCAAAATATTTATCATGATGATCCTCGATAAAATTTTGGAAACCAGCACGATCAAAGTCGAAAGTGTTTGTCGTTTCCAGAGTCGGATCAAAGGTTTCGTCCAAAAAAGAAAGGCCTGTGATGGCCGCCACGTCAAAAAGTGTTGGCGTCAACATACCACAAGGGAAGTGGAATGTGTTGGTTGACCCCTCCCAAAAATACATCGACGCCAGCAATAGGCAAATGTTAAATCTGTGAGCATTCATAGAGAGTTGAATGGCGTCAAAGATGTCAACTGTCTTCCATTGTTCTTGACACTTGCCTTGGACTCTGTTAAGCCAAAATATATAGTCTTTGTTGCCAGGAGTGGGCATCGACCGAAAAACCCTAGCTTTTGGCGCCATGAACTTGAGGTCGAAGGTGCCACCTTTCTGAAAATCAGGGGGTATGGTAGGAAGGTAGCAAGGAAAAAACGCTTGGAGTTCTTCATGGCTGGGTTTCGTGTTAGGATACGACCCATGGAAAGCATGCAATTTTTCAACCACCGCGAAAGGTATGATCATCTGGCGCTGCCAGGTTGCTATCATCGCGTCATCAACAGACGTCGGATTGGGAAAGGGCCTGAGAGATTTGGCTTCAAAAAGAACAAAAGCAATGGGGTTGTTCCCAGTTGTGTGAGTAGCGGAAGTGGTTGAGGAAGCCATTGAAAGAGAGACTAAGAGAACTTTAGAAGCGAAAAATTTGGAAGAAAAGGAAAGTGTGAGAGAAGGTGAAAAAAAAAACAAATGTGGGCAAGAATTATTTATAGACAAATTGCATGCAGCTGAAAAGGCAATGGACTGTTCCGATTCTAGAGTGAGTGAGAGTGGGTTAAAGCCCATAACTTAGGACGCGACTAGGCATAATGAGTTTTCTTGGAAATCGTGGCGCAGAAAGGCGCCATTATTACGTCAGACATCGGGTGACGCATGGCCGATTCGGCAGAAGAAAAATGATTGTCTTACTGGGTCAAAACCAAGGTGCAGTCGAAATCTCGCAGGAAATCAAAACGCTAAGTTTTTCAGTCGACACAGTGCTCAATCGAAACTGGCTTTTTGGGAGGGCATCTTGTTGGCTGGAAGATTTCGACTGAGAAGAGTTGACGAAAAGGCTAACATACGGGTCGACGGGTTAGGAAGATGGTGAAGGAAACGACTCAAGTCAACACCAGCCGAAGATATGTCGCAAGTCGGCGCCAGCAAAAGATGTATTGTGAGTCGACTCAAGGCTATGTCGTCGAAAGTGTCAATTGATGGCCAATGAAACCGACATAAAGCATGAGAACCTTTGAGCGAGAAGAAATTTGAAAGGCTGGGAACGTGGGGAAGTTACAAAGATGGTGGAGTAACACGTGTCGACACCAGGACCAACATGAAGAGAAAAGAAGTTATTTTCTTTTCCTATTTAAAGCAATGTCCATTTTCATTTCAAGGGGACGCATTTTATAACATTGTCAAAGGAATACACTCTGAGTACGAAGCGTTAAGAAAAAAGAGTTCACTCCTGCGAAATGTATAACGGCGTCCATATTTCTTTTTAAAGCAATTTACATTACCAAATTTTAAGATATCTTGCCTCTTACTTGTTTATTTTGTTTGCTCTTCAATTCGTGTACATTTTTCTTCAAGTTTGTTTCCAATTCATTCTAAACAAAACCATTCTATCAGCGTCACATAGACTCGACCAGATTACCCTGAGACTTGTTTGACTGATCTTACAAGTAAATCTGCGTAAGGAGGGCAGAGATTGATCGCGCGAAAACCGCGTGCAAGCAGGTAGTAGTATCTATCTCTTTTTTTTAACACTTAATTAGCTTAGTATAATTTATATTATTACACATAATTTTTAAATATTTTACTTCCACTAAAACTCTAATTTACTAGTTTTAAAATTAATAGTTTATTAAACCACTAGACTTTTCCCGAGTTATATTCACCAACAATGTATTTGCATATTTACTACATAATACTTTGATGGATGTAGTTACTGTAAATGATTAGTTGTAGCATGACTCATCTCTCATCAGTTCTTCTCTCCACTCCCATTTCTACTCTACTATTCAAACATAGAATTGATACCCATCCTTTACAACAAAATCTTCTTTTTACACCCCCACAGCCACAATTCAACACCACCCACCTCAAATTACCACCATCCATATCTTATTCTAAAATATGGAGAAACAAGGTTTCATTCTTCCAAGATTTTCTCACTGGAGGAGACAGAGAAAGGAATATTCAGAGCCTCAAAGATGAACTCTATGAAACAATTGCACCACTTGACCGTGGGGCTGAGGCTACTTCTGAAGACCTACAACGTGTGGACAAGGTTAATTTCAATAGTACAAACATTAGTAACATGTGATACATGCATGATAATTTAGGTTTAGGGTTTTATGTTTCATTGTGTTGGTTGGTTTGTGATTGATTTTATGTGGGGTTATCTAGATTGCTAGTAAACTTGAAGCTATGAATTCTGTTAAGGAGCCTCTCAACTCTGATTTGCTCAATGGAAAATGGGAGCTTTTGTATACAACATCTCAATCAATTTTGCAAACTAAGGTTTGTCTCTAGAGCTTTTATATGTATTCTGAATTTTGATGGCAAATGAAAAAGACAGTTATGCTTGAAGTTTAATAACATCCTCATCAAAATGTAGCAATATCAATTAGTTATACTTGGTACTTACCATATTGAAGTCTTACATTGTTAAGATTCTCGAGCTCATGGATGTTTTTATGTGAGCATGATCCAAACCCACAATCCTCTTGTGCTTTTAGAAACTTGAGAGTTTCTCAATCTGCTTCTCTAGTACAGCCTTTGTTAGCTTTTTTTAATGAATTGTCTATGCATAGCCGGTTGCCCGAATAAAAGGAGAGGGTTGTGTTAGACAGTCGACACCCAACGTAAAACTCTATGACATGGATCAACTACAAAATAATGTGAATGCTAGGTTGTTGCTCGTAAGCAACGCGATGTATGACTCGAGTACAGTGTCAAAAGAGTAAGGGTCGTTGCATCGTCGTTTGGATGTAGTGAAGAATCAGAAAGGGTTCTCACATTTTCATGAACGAGTATGGGTAAAGAAGTTAGTTCATGAGTATGATTCATTTTGGATAATGGAATATAGACACTTACTAGAAAATTTATGAAAATAGTAGACACTATGGTTAGGAGGAAGATCAATTTCATATGCCCACAAGAAACTAAGTGGACAGAGGAAAAGGCGAAAAAATAGATTTAGGTGGTTTGGGCATGCAGAGAGAAGATCTGTAGATTGTGTGGTAAGGAGAGTAGATCAGATGGAGAGAAGTCAAACAACTAGAGATAAAGAGGAAGACCTAAAAAAACTATAAGAAAAGTTATTAAGAAAAATCTCAAGATTAACGATTTGGATAGAATCGTAGTCCTGGATAGAACTTTATGACCAAAATTGATCTATGTAGGCGACCGTGCTTAGTGGGACAAGGCTTGATTGTTGGTTGTTGTTGTTCTCAATCTGCTTCCCTATATGTTTAAATATATCAAACTACAATAACGAAAGCACTACACCACACGTAAAATGCTCATGCCAAGCATAAAATGCTGCATTTTGGGGGGCAGACTGAAAAATCATCAAAAATAAACCGATTCTTAAAGTTTTGGGTCTAACTCAACCCTATAAAATAGACTTGTAAGATGAGGATTGTCTCATTTATATGCTTTATCTAAGAACTTGAGCATAAAACCACTTCTTTTTGTGGTCTAAAGGGTCAAGTTGTCTATTTGCCGACTCTTTTTCTTGAAAGAAACTATCTTGATGACTTTCCAACATACTTAGAGATAGTTTTAATAGTTGGACATAGATTGAGTTTTAATAAGCAAGTCAAATTTGCTTGACTTAAATTACATGGTTAGCTGATCTCAATTCAAACAAGAATAATTGCCATTTTGTTGTTTTAATTATAACATGTTTGATTTCGCAGTATCATTTTTATATTTATATATTCATTTTCTTTGGTAAAGTGATAATTGGTTGATGTTAAACTATCCCAGAGACCGAAATTCTTGCGACCAAATGGAAAGATCTATCAGGCAATTAATGCAGATACATTAAGAGCTCAAAATATAGAAACTTGGCCGTTCTTCAACCAGGTACTGTAATTCTGACCACTGGTTTGAATATCTGTTTAAATTGTATAAATTTATATAGTCGAAATGAGAAGGAAAATCTGGATTTGATATGAGTTGTTCAATAGGAGAATTCAAGAAACCTTGGCATTGGCAGGTTTTAGTGTTGCAACTTACGATACCAATGATCAACACATGCGATCGTGTTCAATTTTTTTCTTCAAGTTATTACCGGTCTCTTGTCTAATGCCCGTGTCCGTGTTTGTGCCTGTGCTTCATAGGTTTTGAAGACCATTTTCATGCTTTTTGATAAACAAAACCTAGCTATGTGCTAAATGAATCTAAGTAATTGGTTAAATGTAGTTTTGTCGGTTTCATCAAATTCATAATATTCTACATCCTTCAAGTTTCGACTATTGTTGCAGGCCACTGCCAATTTAGTGCCACTTAACTCAAGAAAAGTGGCTGTCAAGTTTGACTTCTTCAAGATTGCTAGTTTGGTAAGTCCTGCTCGAAATTACTTTTCAATTTTCATATTTGTAGCCCACATTTGTCATATTTTAACAGAAACCCACCCATTTAAGTTGCGGCTAATTGCTGGCTGCGTGATGGTTTATTTGCTCTGCAATCACAAATCCACGCATTCACGCAGTCATTACATCAATAATCATTGTATCTGAATGAATCTGATGGTGTAGTAAATAAGTATATTTTGTTTGTTTAAACTAAAATAAAAGTCGAACTTGTAACCAAGACTGTTTGCTCTTGATCCAACTATCACTGATCTGGTGACTGCGCGAATGCATGAGATGTGCGACTGCAGTCAAACCAACTCCGCCAAGAATGTTTTCTTGACAAATGAGTGTACAATGGTAATTACAGATACCTATAAAATCACCTGGGAGTGGTCGTGGCGAATTGGAAATTACTTATTTGGATCAAGATTTAAGGTAAGTTGGCCCTAATAGAATTAATTGTCCCATCTCACATCTTCACATCTTTGTTCTTTCTGCAATTCATCAATAGATGCACTTAAAATCATTACTATTAGAATATAGTTAAATACTAGTTTTGTTAAGCACATTATACAAGCATATACAACTATACAAGTTCTAACTAGTACTTCATTTCATCAATAATGCATTCGGTCGGTGCCGTCTTTGAGAGTGTGCAAGACGACCTATAGCATAGGACCTCACATTTTTTTATGATTAAGTTATTGCAAAAAAGAAATCTATACACATATTTTATAGTTAATTTATAATTAAATAGGTCTCTTGGAAATAATTTACAACTCAACTAAAGTTAACTTCAGCATCTTATACTGAATCTCTCAAAAGTTTGAGACAATTCTGAATGCATTATTATTATTATTATTGCTGATTAAATATGATTTTTTTTTTGACAGAATATCAAGAGGTAATAGAGGCAACCTGTTTATATTGAAAATGGTAGATCCATCTTATAGAGTCCCTAATTGAAGGGTGTTCTTCAACAATTCAACATCAATTAGTGCTACCAAAATTCAAGTCAAGAAATGGTTCATAACTGTTTGGTCGTATGCAACCCATATTAAAATGTTGTTTTCTCAATACGTCAATATGTATACTTTTGAAAGTCAAGCAAGTCTGCATTAAGATATTCAAATTTAATTGCAGAGTCAAATTTCATTTTAATTTCCGTAAAAGAAAATTTGAGATTCAATTTAATTTCTGAGAATAATATCAACAACTTTTCAAATTAGTTTTTATTCTTTCTCTATTTTATTTAGTTGATAAAAGAAGTGAGAAAAAGATAAAAGGAATTAAATCTAAAAAAGATTATTAGTAGTTTGATATATGAAAAAAAAATATTAAAATACATGATAGATACAAAAACAAATAGGTATTTATAAAAGAGAAAAAAAAATATGCAGTTTAATATACAATATGTTATATATTATATTAAATATTATAATATGTTATATATCATATCAAGGATTACGAGTAAATTTATCTTTGAATCGAATGAATTTTTATTTCAAAATTGATTTAAACTACACCGCGAACACGCCTACTTAATAAGTGGAATGTTGATGTTTGTGAGTGCATCCTTCTATTTAGTCATGTTTTGAATGATGTCAAATTTATGAGAAACTTTAGCGTTTTTGTACATTGAACGGTATCAACCAAATTTTAGATGTGCATTAATCATCTTAGCATTAGGGTGCATATAAATATGTTTGAAAATGATTGAAAATATCTTAGGCATGCTCCATGCATCAAAAATGAATTTTTAGTGTGAAATATGTTGCATAGGCCGACATGCACGCGCTCAGGTAGACCTATGGAAGCTTTTGCTTTAGTATAGGTCGACACATAGCTTGCTCAGATCGACCTCCATGCTTGAATAACGAAGACTGTAGCTATTTCTTTTAGGTCGCCTCAGATATACCGACCTAAGACCTTTACAGGTCGACCTATTGCTTTCATAGGCCAACCTATTCACTTCAAAACTTAAGAATTTGTTTTTCCTCTCAATTTTTCTTGCATTCTTTTTGTTTCATATCTCTCATACATACATATACTCATACATGCATCATTTTCTAGTAACGTTCTAGTATAAAACCTAAACGAAACAAGAATTACATAGATACTCATCATCTTTAACCTTTCTTCTATACATACACACAATCAAACTACACATAATTATTTTTTGGTTAGGTGACAATCTAGATTAGAGTTGATAACGTCCAATTAGGTTGGTATAGCGAGAATATTGGGTTGAGTTCTTTGTGTGTTTCAAATTAAAAAACCAAGATGGAATTTTCCTTCAAGATCAATGAGGATTTGAAGGTTTTGGACAATATTATGCAAATACAAATCCGATCAAATGAAAGCCTTGGGACAAGGTGGTTTCCATGCAAGGGAGTAGCGTGAGACGATGGATCGTGTTCGTAAATCTTGAGTTCAATAAGTGCATGCTTGGAATCAATATGACCGAGCGAAAACCCTTAGACGGGAGGTCTTGCAAGGTAGTAACAAGAATTAGGGGATTGAAACAACATTATTGGTGACTTGATCAGACTTTGATCAAGGGTTTTTGAGGTGGTAGAATCAACAACAAATCATAGAATTTGTAGGGTTATACTTCTTCATTTCTTGTATATACATTATTTGCAAAGTAAGGTTAATTGATTTTTGATCATTGAAAATAAGTTATGAGAGTAGCTTAGCATTTAATTGGTTTGTGATTAATCTTTGTTAAACAATTTGTGTTCATTATCATTCAATTGTGTAATTTTACGCATATCCGACTTTTTTGATAGTAGGTTCGGTTAAACGATTCGATTCATATTGTTTATGTTGTGCCATAAAACTTTTAAAAATTATTTTTTAGCAACAATTTAAATTTTAAATTTGTGATCTATTCACCTTTTATAAATCAAAACATATCGTCAAATAGCATTAAACTAACACATTTTCTAAATTTAATAAATGAAGTGCTGATAATTGAATTCACGCAACAAATTAACACAACCCATTACATTTTAATTAATCAAAATATTATAAGCATAAAATATTTTTTTTTAATATAACATATTTTTTCAAAATAATTACCAAATAAGTGAACATTTCAAAAAAATGATGAAAATGGCTAGATTTTTAGGAGGATTCGCCATATGAAATGGCTACTCAAGTCTCCCAAATCCGATTCGCCATTTCATATGGCGCATGGGTTTATTTTGGTGCTTTAAACTCTACATTGAGTCGCCATATGGGATGGCGCATCAGGTGTAATTCTTTTTTTTGTTGTTGTCATTTTTGTCATTTTTTTGAAATGTTCATTTATTTAATAATTATTTTAAAAATATATATTATATTAAAAAAAAATTAAAAAAAAATATATAAAATAATCAAACAACATTTTTCAATTTAATAAATTAAAAATATTATTATCTCAAGTTCACACTTTAGATTGTAAAAAATTAAATCAAGGAAAAAATAATTTATGAGGTATTTGATGATTTAAGATATTAGAAATTTTTTATACGACAATGGTGTTAAATTTTTTATACCACGATGGTGTTAAATTTTTTACATTGATGATGTATGTCCATTAAACTTTACATATATTATTATTGAACAATTGTAATTTTAATGATAATATAAAATCGTGGATTAAATCACAATTAGCAATAATAGAAACGTGGGAGCATTATAAAAAATGGGGTTAAAATAGTGACCTCCATCCAAAAAGAAAAAAGAGAGACAGTCATCGTGGAAATCGAAATAACGAAAAGTAGTAAAAAACAAAATAACGCTTTCATTACCAGCAATTAGAAAACAAAATAAAAAGAGGTTAGAGGAGTTAAGTTAGTTTATCTCCCGTCCTCCCCTCTGTTACTCCGTTAACCCAATGGGATTGGGTTGCAATTGCATGGCTCCTCCTTCTCCTACCATCTCTTCCCTTTTCTCACCCTCCCAAGCTCACCGTTACACTAACCGTTACGGTTACGCTTACAGTTACAGTTACACTTTCCGTTTTCATCTCCCCACGCGCACTCAATTCAATCACACGCCACGCGTCCAACCAATTTCCACAACTCCTTCGCCTCCTCCTCCTCCGCCGGAGGAAAAGAAATCCTTCGCCGTCGCCACCGGGGAACTCTTCTTAGGCCTTGCTTCGCGTCTCATTAAGAGCAGCGGTCCCGCTTCCGATTCGGATCCCGTTGCAATGTTTGAGAATTCTAAGGAGAGAATTGGAGCTGTTGTGGAAGATGAGATTCAACCTGATGTGATTTGGGAGCAGAGAGTGAAAGACGTTGAAGCGGAACGCAATAGGCGTGTTGTAACTACCCCTGGCTTTAGTTTCTCCGCCGCTGGTCTTCTCTTTCCTTATCATCTCGGTGTTGCTCATTTTCTTATTCAGAATGGTTACATTAAGGTTCGTCCATTGTTTATTCGCTCACTTTTATATAATTTATTCCAGAAGCTATTAAAATACGCTTAAAACAGTGTTAGAAGGACTTGTGTCAGTATATACTAGATACTTGTACATGTGACCGATATGACTCTCTATCTCACACATGTCATCAGATTCAATTTATTTATTTATTCAAACAATTACATGTGTTGATGTGCGAGTGTCGTGTTAGGGTCGGTGTCTTGACATATGTCATTATATTCAATTTATTTATTTATTCAAATTATTACGGGTGTCACTGTTGTGTCAGTGTCATTATCAATGGTGCTTTGTAGGATAAGTTTAAACAAATCAATCAAAAGAGACTTAAGTTAGAGGGCTTTTGTTCGTATCATGGGAATTACAAATTGAAATAGAATTGGGATTATTAATAAGGTTTGTATGTTTGTCTAGGGACTCTAATGGGATGCTTGAGGAATTAGTTTTGACCTTGGTTTTCTAGAGTTTATTCACAATATATCTTGTTCATTTTGAAATGATCTGTGTTTTATGTCGGTGGCAAGTGTAAAATTGGAATCTGCTTTGCTAGGTAATATTTGTAGAAAAATGTAATTAATGTTTCATTGGTATTTTATATCAAAGCGGATGTGACACAACTGGCAAACTGATTGGTCCCAGAGTCTCCCAGGTCGAGGGTAAAATATTGCAAATGTGAAGTTTTTAATGAGGGGGAGAGTACAAAATATTGTGAAATAGAGGTGTTATAGCACTGTTGCGTAGCAGAATGTAAACAAACCACTATTTTTTGCAATCCACAATTGACAACATTTGTTCTATGACGCATGTCTAGGAAACCACACCGTTAGCTGGTTCTTCAGCAGGAGCTATAGTCTGTGCTGTGATTGCTTCTGGAGCTAGTATGGAAGAAGCCTTGAGTGCTACTAAAGTATTAGCTGAAGATTGTCGAAGTCGGGGGACTGCATTTCGGCTGGGGGTATGCCTCTATTCTTGAACTGAAAGTACTTCGCTTAGTTGGTTTCGCTCTTAATCTTAGTAGTCAATTCATGTTTTCCTTTGGTCTCTTGCCCCATGGGCTTTGAGCTTGAAGTGTAGATAGTCTAAAGTCCAGTTTACCTTGTTTTGAAACATGAAATAAGGTCTGTGAATATTTGGAGCCAAAAATAGTCGTTAGAAAGGATTTGGTTATACGAGATCATGTGTTACCTCTCCACTGTTTTTTCCTGTAAAGCTATGCCCACTTTCTTTGGGTTCAATTGGAAATTCGGAATGGTAGAACCTATCTTGAAAGTTACTATTAAGTATCAATTATTAGTGGATGAATTGTTAGAAAAACCACTTCAGTACTTTTACAAGATATAATTGTTTTTGGGATCAAACTTTGATGATATTTTTGTTAATCAAGATAACTATTTTTGAAATCGAATGGAATTATATGATGTGCAGAGCTTTGTGAAAATGTGTCTAAGTTATTCCATGATGGAAATCTGAGATTTTCTGTAATTGTGATATTATGCGTTTTTTTATATATAAAACGAGTGTTCAAATCTCAGTATGATTTTTTTTACAAAATATATATAATTTCATTTGTGGCCCAATCTTTTTCTCTCCATAGGCTGTTCTGCGTGATATTCTTCAGGAGTTTTTGCCAGATGATATTCATATAAGATCTAATGGGAGAATTCGAGGTAATATTGGATAGTCTGCACTTCAGCTATTTTAGCAATGGAATTGGCTTCTACAATGAATTGAACTGGAAAATCTTCTCCTTATTTTTACTTTTAGGACTAAAAGTAACACATACTTAGGAATATTTTTTGAAGTCCTGCCGTGTCTTAGTATGTCCTTCTATTACAGTTGCTGTGACGCAGCTTCTTTGGAGACCCAGGGGTTTATTGGTGGATCAATTTGATTCTAAGGAAGATCTCATCAATGCAGTTTTTACTTCTTCGTTTATTCCAGGGTGATTTGTCAGTATACTATATTACCATGGTTGCATGTGCTGATTTTACTCTTCATAGATGCTTAACAGAATTTCAAACTTATACTCCCTCCAGATATCTTGCACCAAAGCTAGCAACAATGTTTCGAAATCGATTATGCATAGATGGGGGTTTGACGTTGTTTATGCCACCGACATCTGCAGCACAAACGGTATTTTTATTTAGTTGCTAGTTTGACTATTTGCCCAATTGAATGATTATTTAGTCATGCCTTTAATTAAATGCAATTGAAGGCCTTAAAAAACTTTCCATTTATCTAGTTCATTATCACATTTTAACCTCGATAAACATTTACTGCTTTACAGGTTCGTGTTTGTGCTTTTCCAGCAGGTCTAATTGGATTGGAAGGGATAGGAATTAGTCCAGACTGTAATCCCGAGAATGCGTCTAGCCCTCGTCAGGTAACTCTTAGTTTTATGAATTAGCATAATAATCTTCTTAATGACAAGTAAATGAATATGAGTATTTTGGGTTGAATCGTTTCAGCTTTTCAACTGGGCACTTGAGCCAGCAGAAGATGTAATGCTTGACCGGCTCTTTGAGCTTGGATATCTTGATGCTGCTGTCTGGGCAAAGGAAAACCCAGTTGAAATAATAGTTCAAGATGATACTCCTGCTTCTGCATTCGGAAATAGCATTGCAGAATAGCGCATTATGAATTGAAGATGCATGTGGAAACAACAAATTGAAGTCAAGTATGATGCTATGCTTGAAATAGGCATCACATAGCAAAAAGAAATCATGGTGGGGAGGTCTACAGTTCATAACTTCTAAGTGTATACATATCATTTCTTTAATATATTTATTGTAAATTGAGATAGAACTCTTGCTGTAAGAAAAAAAAAGTATAGATATTTTATTTTATTTAAGTTTACAAAATAGGTGCAATGTAGATTGAAGTCTCAAATTTATTGTGGATTACAAATAAATAGAACTTATAGCCAGTTTCCCTATGAATAACAAAGTTAAGACATGTGAGTTTTCTCTGACGTCCTATGATACTCAAACAAATTTAAGTTTTATTATTCTTGATTTTGTACTTGGAGACAATTGTAAAATATCAGGACATTTGGAGTAGTTTATTTTAATTTATTTTATGATGATCTGAACACCTCTGTAATTATTTGTAAGAACTTTTAAAAGTAGCCTGTGATATGTCTAAATTATTTTTGGGTGGTTTTTATAAGATTCTCAATAGTTTCTTGAAATAGTTTGTATAAAGTTTATGAAGTACTCACCAAATTTTATCTACATTTATGAGATGTCTTTTTTATGCACCAACACATTGACCAAATTGTTAATGTTGATGGTGAGGACAATAATGGATATCACGCCATTTACCCATTATATGACAAGGATGAGGAACATTGGATTTGTGTCTGTCATGCACACTAATTAGAGATTTAACTACCCATAGGAGTGATAATGTGCAACTCTATGAGACTTTGGATCAAGTGAAAGATATCATGAAGACGGTTTTTTTTCATCCTAGGTACTTCTTACACACTACACACTATGTGATTTTTCTTATGCATCTTTAGAATTTTAGATATATATCTTCGGACACACTAAAATTTAAATGAACATTAAAATATTTTGGAGATATATCTCCGGACGCACCAAAACTCAATTGAACGTTGAAATATTTTGGAGATATGTCTTCAGAACGTTTTAAAGCATATTAACGCGTCAGACTCTTCTCCTCTCTCACTTTTTTATTTTCATTCACAAACCTCTTCATCTCTTTCATTCCCAAATATCTCTAATTTCACCAAATTTAATTTCATCCGTCCGAGACTCGAGTAATCATTAAGCATCATCCAGTACATTACTCAACATCTTCCAAATCATATAATTCAGGTAAATTTTTCGATTTTCCAAAAAATATTCGAGTATTTTTGTAAACGAGTTAGAATGCATTGTTAGGTGTAGAAATATTTATAAATCAGCTGAAACATAGTTTAAAGTAAGTGTATTTATTGTTTGTTGGCTTAAATGGATTATCAGGTCTTCAAATTTCTCATTCTTAAGGGCAAAAGACGCCAATGTCGCGACCTCTGAGTTTCAGAAAATTCTGGAGATACATCTCTGAAAAAATTCAACGTTTCATGTGCTCTGAGTGATTTCGGAGATACATCTGTAGAATATTTATGTAGTTATATCTTCGAAATCACGCAGAGTACATGAAACATTGGAATTTTTCGAAGATGTATCTCCAAAATTTTCTCAGTCTGTTTTTTTCTTTTTGTTTTATAATTTTGTTGTTTGTATTATTCATCTGCATAAACTCATTGTACGGTTAATTATACCTTGCAGTCATAATAGCTGACAGAGCCGACCGATTGAGGCGTGGGCGGGTTGCCCAACACGCATTCGTTCGGCAGGAGCGGAGCCAGCAGATTCCGAAGGTAGCAGGTACCTTTGGTCAAGGAGAGGCATCGTCTGTTAGGGCACAGTCTACTCCTGAGATTCAGTCCACTTCCGGGGTTCGACATTTGCCTCAGTCCACTCAATCTACTTCTCAGCCCACTCCTGGGGATCGGCCTTCGCCTCAAGCCACCTCATCTACATCTCAGCCCACGCCACCTTCTACTTCTTCTTTCTGCAAGCCACGGGATGCACTAGATGACGCATCACTCCCCCCATCCTCCCACAATTCAATTAATCACACAACACCACATATTTAGCAACATAGCAACATAGATAATATCTAATACAATGAGACTCACACCTGACTTAATGCTTATGTACGTGGTACTAATTTTCGTGAACATTCAGGTTCACCGTTCTGATCCCCACCTTTTAGGATCAGAACCACTCACTGATCCATCACACCCGAATCAACTACCGGCTCAATCCACACAATGAGATTTTAGGCTCCCCAACAATGGACCATTTGTCCATAAATGTATTCAATGCGACTATTTATGCATACAACAACGATAACATCATCGTGCATGATAATCCACCACCATGGTTATTGTACACCGTCCAAATTGGCTAACAAGCATAAAATTATATTTCATACAATATGGATATATGTATATCTTTTATACAATCACAACAACATCATTAAAACATCTTCATATTACTATCATTAACATCACAACAACATCATTAAAACATTTTCATATTACCATCATTAACATCACATCAACATCATTAAAACATCTTCATATTACCATCGTTAACATCACAACATCATTAAAACATCTTCATATTACCATCATTAATATCACATCAACATTGTTAAAACATCTTCATATTACCATCATTAACATCACAGCAACATCATTAAAACAACACTTAAGATTCGTCGCTTACAACACGACTTCTTAGCATACACAACACGTAAAAATCACATTCCTAAACTGATTAGACATAAAAATATTGGAAAAATAATTCACCTAATTATACCATATTAAATTTCTATTCATTAGCTTTCCAACGCTTCAAACGGTTCGTCATTTGGATAAACTGTTAAAAAGTTATGATCGAAACTATTTCTAGTATTTTTTTTCTATGTGCTGAAGCTTCAGATCGACTCACAAGACCTTCAGGTCGATGCATGTTGTTACATTTTTCAAAGTATTTTTTTCTGGAAGCTTCAGGTCTACTCACTGGACCTTCAGGTCGACACATGTTGTTACGAATCTCAAAAATCACTTTTATAAAAAGCATTTTCACACTAGCTTATCATACCATAACCTATACTGCGAAATTCCATCATCATAGACTCAATTTTATACTAAACTAACATTCTAAAACTCAATTATCCCTTGTTTTACTCATGGATTAACATCATATCATCATCAATTTCATACCTATGACTCAAACCTTCAAAAATCAACAATGGAGGAAACTTACCAACAATTCCAAAACAGATTATCAAGCATATAGGAAAACAAAAATTCATCACATATCGATAAATCAAACAATATCATCACCATTAATGTACAACAATTATAGCATAGAAAAACACCACAACCTGCAATGTAAAGACCTAAACCCTTACCCATTATTCAACATAATATCCCTTAGAAGATCATAACCACACCCTTACCTTGTAATTGAGTTTTCTCGACCTTCACAAATGGTGGTTCCCTCTTCTTCTTCAACTCTAGCCTTTCTTCTATTCTTTTCAAATGTTATGATCGTACATAATGAATTCTCTTTTCTTGTTTTACTTGTTTAACCCTAGGACCCTTTCTATGGTTTGCCTCTTATGCCCTCATTATTCCCTACAACATTACCATCATGCCCCCATCCTCCTTTTTCACCTTAATATCTATTTTATTATTATTATAATTCCAATATTATTATTATTATTATTATTATTATTATTATTATTATTATTATTATTAATTTTACAACTTAAATAATAATAACAATATCTCCTAATAATTTAAATTAATAATATTAATCAAATATTACTAATATTACTTTATTAGTCATTCTCACCACACCACCAAATTTTACAAAATTAGCCACACACCCCTCACCCTAAGGTCTACTCCTAAGGTCACTATTCCACACCAAGGATATCCTCAAACACAATAAAACACAGATAATCACATTTATACACACAACTTCACATAATTAAATTACGAAAAATAACTTAAAATAAAACGGGAGTTACATCAGACACCCTGCTGTCTCTGCTCCTCATGCCTTGACTCGTATATAGATAGAGGAGATGTTTGCTAATCATCAGAGTCATCTCGAACCGGATGAGGCTCAGGCTACCATAGCGCCAAATGACTAGAGCTACGTCGACGAATACGTCAGGTGGTTCTTCAAAGTCTCACATTCGTACATGGTGTTGACTGCTCCAGAAGATCCGTCGAGACCCACTCATCAGGAGATTCTAGAGGAGGAGCGGGCTCAGGTAAATCATATTGAGGATGTCTTGCCTCGTTGTCGTCGCATAGTGGAGATGACGCGGGCATGCATTGATGAGGGTATCTTCCCTGAGGGGTCTGCTGTCAGGCGAGTACTGAATGACATTATTATGGAGGTACATAGGTCACTTTTGTACTACAAACATCGCGTAAGAATAGGAGGATTGATGGCCGAGGAGGCAGATCAGGCAGAGGAGAAAAAGGAGGCAGAAGAGAGATTTTCAGATACACCCACTAGTTGTCTGTATTTATTTTGTTCAAGTACTATAGTGTATAAGTTTTTTCTTACATTGCTACTACATTTTAGATTTTTGTGACATATGACATCTTGTTACTATATTGTTATGTTATTTTGGTATGTTTGTTATTTTATAATTCATCTGTGAACAAATACACAGTGCATTTTTAAAAAAAAAAACATGTTCTAGTACACTTCAGAGATGTATCCAAAAATTTCCCGTAGATGCATCTCCGAAATATTCAAATAGAAATGGGCTATGGGAGATATGTTGTGACCGTTTAAGGTTTAAATTGTTCCGAAGATATATCTCCGAAAAATTATCAACCTTTAGGGCGCGTCCGGACATATATCTTCGAAATCTGGGGGCATTTGTGGAAAATTGCATGGTGGAAAAGAAATGCATGAGGTGTAATAAGAAATTTCCTATCATCAATGCTTTGTACTTGAGACATATTGGATTCGCTGCAGCGGTGGCCAAATGGGTGAGTTTTTTAAGAAATGAGAGATCTTATTGCAAGTTCCTATAATAAGGTTTTAATTGAACGGATTGGATATGATTTTTCGAAAATATTTTTCTTGTTGTGAATTCAATCTACATATATTTCAAATTCACAAGTAATATGTATTAATTGGATTTCTAAAAGAAAAATAATGATTTGTACAAATGTATTTCAAAGTTAGGTGTTCTCTACCTTATAACATTTGTAAAATGGAGAACCAACCACAAACTATAATCAAGATAATCTGATTTTCTATTTTAAGATAAAAATGTTTACATTTAGTCACACTTTTAGAGGTGTTTATCCAAAAGGGCCCTTCCAAAACTATGTCAAATACAAGAAGGTTGGCAAACATAACCTATGAACACATTGTTTATCTATAAAAAAAAAAACCTTCCAAGCCTTTTTAAATTGTAACATATAGACTAATCACAAGTATTTATACCGTTTTTATCTAGTTTTATTTTCATGTTTTCTATGTTTTTATCTAATGTTTACTACAAAAGTTAGATATTTTTATTGTTTCAGATATATGAAAATCCGACTGTGGAAGGAAAAGAGATGAAGAAGCAAAGAAACTAAGAAATCGACTTTCATGATGGGCGAACAGTCATCACCCATGACGCTCGTCATGACTCCAAAAGGGAAAAGAAGTCAACACATGATGACACTTTGTGATTGCATATTTTTGTCGAAGAAATGGAGCAAAACACGTCAAAGATGAGCAAAAAGAAGAATAAAGATCTAAGAAATATGCAAAAATGACTAAGTGTGAAGAAATAAAGACTTAGTAAAAATATGATGGAAAAAGGGAGCAAAAACGTGCAATTACTGGAATAATCACGCGCAACATCACGCGTGTTACAGAGTTGTATCGTCAGCATTGAGCACGCGATGAAGGATATCACGACTGCGATATATCCTTTTTCTGGGCCTATTCTAACGCGCTCTGGACCGATTTGACATCTTTGTAAGGGAGTTTTTGGCATCCTTTCAAAGGTTATGCAATTTTTAACTGAAAGGAGCACCAAGAGGGCGATTTTGAGAGCAATGGAAGTCATTGAATGTTTGTTCTTCAAGGATTTTGCATATGCAATCCTCATTTTATTGCTGAGTATTTGATTGTATCGTTATGAGTAACTAAACTTCTCTAAATTAAGTTATATATGATGAACTTATTTTAAACCAGTTAGGACATATGTTTAATTTTTCAATGCATGAATAATTGAAGTTATATTTCTATTTAATCGTCTTTTGTGTTTAAAAGTAGAGAATCTTCATATGTTGAGGATGAAATCTAAATTTTTCTTTTACTGGAGAATTTTTTAATGCTCGCCAATATCACAATGGGCACATATCTATTAGCCCAAAATAAAAACACATATTGTATCAATAACAAAAAGAAAATATACAAGCACATGCATTTCCTAATATATATATTTTTTTATCAATATATATATATATATATTAAAAAATATAGTCGAGGTTAGGGAATCGACGTGGCGAAGGATATTTTCCGATCTCCACCCCAAAGTATTATTGGGAGAACATTTTTAACTATCCTCATCTCCGTAGAGGTGAAAATTCCTGACTTCGGATCTCAAACAAATAATCTCCACGAAGATCTACGTTAATAAATATAAATTGATATTCTTATTTGAAAGTTGATCATGTTAAAAAATCAATGGACTAAAAGAAAAAATATTAAATTAAAAAATATTTTAAAACGGAAGGAATGAATAATATTGTTAAATTTTCAGTAGATTAAATTAGAAAATATTTTTAGCATTTAAATAAAAAACAGAAAGTAAACAAAACCTTGAAATTGAATTGGTTGTGAATTTTTTATTCAAATAAGTAACATTTTTAATTAAGTATTAAATTTTTTTTAAAATAAGCATGATTTTCATCTACTTTTCAAACTCACTTTAATAAAAAGATCATGTTGACCGAGTGTTTCAGAATATTAATTAAGCATTTCAAATAAAAAAAATATTGTAATAAATATAAGTCTTTTATAAAAAAAACATATTTTTTATTATTTAAAAAAGTCAATTATTTTAATTTTTAATTTATTTAATATAAATATTTTTCAAATAAAATATGTGTTTTTAAACTCTTAATAAATATTCTCGAAACATTCATTAGCATTTTCTTTTATTAAAAATGTAGTTAATTAGCCGCACTCACTCGTTACCATTTCCCTATTAAAAGCGTAAAAGTGTGGTCAATTGAATTTCATTCTTAGTGAGAATAAGACCTAAGTGAGTAATTTTTTAAATTGAAGCGGCAGTGAATACAAAATTATTAAATTAAAAATAAATTGCATCCTACCCTAACTGAAACTAATATACAGCAGTAGCACCTATAATATTCAAGAATTTAGATTTTCTTGCTAAACTCAATCTGAATCACCATTACCATATCTCCACCATCCTCATCGTCATCGTCATCATCAGGTTCCGCCGCTGCATTCCTCTCTCTCTCTCTCTTCATTTACATCTCTTTTCGATTTTTTCACGTAATTCTCTTCCTTAACCTCTTTTATTTTAATGCATCAAAATTCCACTATATCAATGCAATGTTGATCATTAATTTATTCTATTATTCTATATAATCCTGCTTTTTTTTTCTGATTCTAGATGTATTTATTTTTCTCAACATTGCATGCGATTGATAATGATGCTGATTGTTTCTTTGAAATCACAGAAATTGCATTAGGTTGTGGAAATTGAATTATGGCTGATGATAATGTTGTTGATCCTTTTCCCAAACTGGAACATGTGTATACAGCGTCTGGTTCCAAATTCAATCAGTTGAGTCGCAATGTATGCGGCGCTGATTTGAATTCGGGAAAAATTGGTGACTCTAAGGTGATTTCAGTTTCAATACCTTGGTGTTCTCCGAATTCTAGTTCAAATGCATGGAGCAATCTGAAGTGGATTCAGAAGATATCAAACAAGGGTAATGGTAATACTAACCTGCAAGTGAAAAGTGATTCTCCAAAGACTGGTCTCGATGGAAATGAAAATGGAGTTTCGAAGGACGAAAAGTTACCTAATTGTGTTGAAGTTGATACAGCTCCATCCAAGGATTGTAAGGACGGTGAATGCAACGGTGAAGGAATACCAAAATTACATTCTGAAAACAATGATGATGAAATTGTTGATAGTGAATCTGATATTGTGTTTGATAGTGATGATGATGATATTTCTTTAGATGACACTGACTCAGACACCGGAGAGAAAAGCCATGAAGGTTCCAAGAAGAGCAAGTGGTTCTGGAAGTTCTTTGATAATTTGAGTAAACTGACAGTAGATGAGATCAATTCACAAGCAATGCGATGGCACTGCCCAGCATGCCAAGATGGTGTTGGGGCTATTGATTGGTATCATGGGTTGCAGCCCCTTCTGAATCATGCTAGGACAGTTAAAGCTAGGAGGGCGAGATTGCATCGAGCATTCGCTGAAACTTTGGAGGAAGAGTGCTATAGGAGAGGAGCTCCGTTGGTGATGGTTGGTGAAGCATATGGACTATGGGAGGGTCTTGATAAGAAAGTCAAGGATCATGAAATTGTTTGGCCCCCAATGGTTCTCATCATGAATACAAAATATGAGATGGATAAAAACAACAAGGTGCAATATATTTTCTTGTTTCTAATTTGTTGAAATGTGTATATTTTTTCTAGAAGAGTTTTTAGTCCTTTGTTATTTTCTTCAAATTTTTCTCTCACGTGAAGTTTTGCTGTGGTTTAAATTTGGTCTGCTGAATTTCAGTGGACTGGAATGGGAAACCAAGAACTTCTTGATTGTTTCAGTGATTATGCTGCATTGAAGGCTCGACATTCATATGGTCCACACGGGCACCGAGGTATGAGTGTTTTGATTTTTGAAGCATCTACAGCAGGTTACTTAGAGGCTGTGCGGCTCCACAAGCATTTCAAAGAGCAAGGAAGAGACAAGGAAGCTTGGAATCATTGTAAGAAACTATTTGTCCCAGGGGGAAAACGCCAACTTTATGGTTACTTGGCTTCTAAAGAAGATTTGGATGTTTTCAACAGGCACTCTAGAGGTCATTTTTCCACACCTTAATTATCCGTTTTTATATACTCTATGTCCGGTTGTTCATCTTGTGTGGAAAGACTAGAGATTGAAATAATTTACGATGAAAGCATTAAGTTTCTTAACTGGTTTGGTAGTTTAAGAGTTCTTAGATGTCATAATATTCTTTATTTATTTTTTCTCTAAGAGATGTTAGGTGTTGTTGTTTATTTGTTTTTGGAAATTGTTTTTCTGTCTTGTCTTGGTTTCTATGTAATATTTGGAATAAATTTTGATGTCTTTCTGATATATGATATATCTATAATTGTTTAGGAAAGTCAAAATTGAAGTTTGAATTGAGATCATATCAAGAGATGGTTGAGAGCAAGATAAAGCACATCAATGAAGATGGTCAACAGCTGGGCACTTTTAAGGACATGATAGCTAAAGAACAACTCAAATCGAAAGTCTTCGCAGACACTTTATGTAAAGTAAGTGACAGGTTACGCAAAGCAACTGAAGAAAACCACGTTGTGAGAGAACGTACTAGAAAACATCATCAACAAAACAAGGAGGAGGTAATGTTATGAAAATAAAATTAGATCAACATTGTTCGTTTCATGCACATTGGTTTGCCTATGAAGATGCTTGATTTGTTGGTTATGGAAGTACTTTTCTGAATAAAATGCAAAATATACTGCTATGAGTGATATCATTGTTTTATAAAATCTTTTTTAGATGGATGCACAAGAAGCTTTTTTCCTTGATCAAATGCAAATCATTCATCAAGCAATATCTGCAAAGGAAGATGAGTTTGCAAAATTGCAGCAGGCAAAACGAGAAGTGATATCGGCTAATGGAGATTCTTCTGCGCAAAAGGGCGGCAATAATATGTAATATTCTTACATTCCCTTATCGTGCACTAATTGAAGCATATTTCAAATTTATGATACATATAATTGTCCGATTATGCCGTGTTAGCTTTCTTTTTGTCACATTCGGAATACTTAACTATGTGGTGAGAATGTAAGATTCAATTCTTGAGCTTTTCTGAAGGAAAACTCAATTTTCTTTCAACAGAATGGAGAATATTTCTAGTTTCATGAAGTCCCAAGATAAAGACAAGGGGCAATTCGAGACAGAGAGAGACAATATCTTAAAAATGCATGAAGAAAAACAGTTGGCTCTGAAGAAGAAGCAGTTGCAAGAGCAGGTTGAACTTGCAAAGGAATTGGAAAATGAACTCACTCAGCTCATGAAAAAACATGCTTTAAACCAGTCTCAAGAATAAAGCTGTCAAAAGTAAATGAGAAAACAAGCACAGAATTGGTAAATTTTGGTTGAGTTTAGTTTAAAAGTTGAAGAATGTGACTTGGTGAGGCCATCACAAAGTTTTGATCCCATTTTGACTAGTTGTAGTAATTTTTTCTTTTGTTGCAATTGTTACTTTGAATATATCATTCATCTGTTAAGATTTACCAGAAGTAATGCAAAAATTAATATTGTTTCTCATTCTTAAGTCCCACACTGATAATGGTAAGTAAGAGGAATAATAGTCATGTCAAAATATCAGGTAGAATTTGTTTATCTAATAGCCCTTAACTATATGAATTATCAAAATATAACAGGTTTATCAATTTTGTCATATAGTTCTAACAAAAATATATCACATGAAAAACTTACAAAATATACTAAGATTTATGTTTGCATGTTTCTATGATGGGATTACAAAACATTAAGGTCTTTTTCACTCAACTTAACAATTGTTCTAAGAAAAAATACAAACGTTTACAAAATGTGCATTAAACAAAATATTAGTATAATCTATATTTTATTTGGTATAAATATATGAACTTAAAATTTTGAATAATTATAATCTATATTTTATTTGAGTAAGGCTCTATAGATTGTAAAACAAAATATTGAGATATACAACCTTATTTGATGTATTGTGTAAGTTATCGGACTCATTTAAAATCAACATCTTCAATTCAAGGTTGGTCCAAGAGAAGGGGGACTATGCTCTTGCCTTTGGCCTAAAGTAATATTTTTTTTAAAGGAGTTTTAGGCCTCCAAATAAACAATCTTTAGTTATGTTGACTATAACAAAAGTATAATTAATTGTTCTTCAGCTCGATTGGTTATATAACGGAAATAGTACTTGGGTTCTTATCCACAAATGTTAGTTAAAAGAAATACCATTATCCTAAAACGCTTAAATTGTTGAGAAAAATCAACCGTAAATATTTGTTAATATTTATGAATTAATATAAATTTATAAACTAGTTTTAACTATCAAACTAGATGAAAGATCGAAGAAAGGAGAATATTTTACTTGTACTTTCAAAGTAAATTTTTGGTGTGTATTTTTACATTTGCCAAAAGTAGTATTTATACTACTAAGAGTGCAACTATTACACTAATGTAATAATTGGATTTACTATTTAAACTTTAACAAATTATTTATCTACAATAATTTGCCATTACTATTTAGATAGATATTTCTAAATAATAATATTATTTTAATAATAATAATAGTATAACACTTCCCCTTTAAAATATCTATTACGGTGCTCCATCGAAGTCTTATTAAAGGAGAAACTTTTAGGAACATATATTGGCTCGTTAAAAACTTTATTAGAAAAAAATCCATTGGGATAAAAAACCTTAATAAGGAAAAACGAGAACAACGTGATACTCCCCCTCAATAGAGAACACATAGTTCTTCTTTAAAGATCTTGAAGTTGACGCATTCCAATATTTTGTACATGCTTCTTGAAAATTGATGTAGGAAGTGCCTTTGTGAAAAGATCTGCCATATTATAACATGAACAAATATATTGAATATTAACCTCTTTGTTTCTTTTAAGTTCTTGTGTGAATGAGAAGAACTTTGGAGGGATATGCTTGGTTTTGTCACTTTTGATGTAACCTTCTTTCATCTGGGTAACACATGCGGCATTGTCTTCATACAAAATTGTTGGATTATTATCAATGGGTAAACTAGATGCTCTTTGGACATGTCTAGTTACCGATCGTAGCCACCTACAGTCTTTGCTTGCTTCATGAAGATCAATTACTTCAGCATGATTTAAAGAAGTTGTTACAAGTGTTTTCTTTTGTGATCTCCATGATATTGCAGTGTTACCATATGTAAATATATATCCAGTCTGTGATTTAGCATTATGTGGATCTGACAAATGTCATGCATCTGCATAACCAAGTAAAACTGGTTTTGTATTGTTAGAATAAAATAAACCAAGGTCTGATGTACCTCGAAGATATCAGAATATATGCTTTATTCCTTTCCAATGTCTTTTTATAGGACATGAACTGAATCTTTCTAATAAATTTACTGCAAAAGCTATATCAGGTCTGGTATAGTTAGCAAGGTACATGAGTACCCCAATGGCATTGAGGTATGGTACTTCAGATTCAAGATTTTCTTCATTATCTTTCTTAGGTCTAAATGGATCATTTTTAATGTTAAGTGTTCTACCCATCATTGGAGTACTTAAAGGGTTTGCTTTGTTCATGTTAAACATTTTCAATACTCTTTCTGTATAATTTGATTGATGTACCAATATACCATTTTTAGTATACTCAATTTGTAAACTAAGACAGAACTTTGTTTTTCTCAAATCTTTCATTTCAAATTCTTTCTTTAAGTAATCTTTTGCTTCCTTTATTTCTCTATTAGTTCCAATGATATTTAAATCTACCTCAATTATTACAAAACCAAATATTGTTTTTCTTATAAAAACATAAGGGCAAATAGAATTATTTTCATAGCCTTCTTTAAGCAAATATTCACTTAGCCTATTATACCACATGCGCTCTGATTTTTTTAATCCATACAATGACCTTTGTAACTTAATTGCATACATTTCTCTAGGTTTTGATGTCTTAGGAATTTTAAATCCTTATGGGATTTTCATGTATATATCAGTAGCAAGTGATCCATACAAATAAGCAGTAACAACGTCCATAAGATACATATTAAGATTGTTAAATACTGATAAACCAATTAAATAACGAAAAGTAATGACATCTATAACAGGAGAATAAATTACCTCATAATCGATTCTTGGTCTTTGGTAAAAACCTTGTGCAACAAGACGAGCCTTGTATTTGACAATCTCATTTTTCTCATTTCGTTTTCTTACAAAGACCCACTTATACCCAAGTGGTTTCACATCTTTTGGTATAGTCGTAATGGGGTCAAATACTTTTCGATTTTTAAGAGAATTTAATTCAGTATCTATTGCATCCTTCCAATTTTTCCAATCATGTCTATTTTGACATTCATTCATAGTTCTTGGTTCGGGATCATCATTTCTATTCATAATTTCACATGCAATGGAGAATGAAAACATTTCATCTATATTTATATCTTTTCGGTTCCACAAAGTTCTCATATCAACATAATTAATTGAAATTTCAAGATCATTCTTGTTTTCATTTTCATTATCAATGATCTCATTATCATCATCTTGTGCTTCTTCGGGAGCACATTTTTTAATTGTAGATTTATTATTATCTAGTGTCTTTTCAAGATCACTTTCAACCATATTCACCCTTTCTATCCTTTTTCTTTTTCGGGGATTTTTGTCTTTGGATCCCATAGGTTGGCCACACTTCAAGTGTGCCATAGATGTACTTGCTACATCATTTAGATTTAAAATCTCAATCCGAGCTTGGACATTTATAGCTGATACGTGTGACTTTGTCACTCTTTTCAAATCAGTAAAAGAACCTGGTAATTGATTTGCTAAATCTTGTAAGTGCACAATTTTCTTTACATTTTTTCCCATGATTTATTATATGAGTCCAAATGTAATAAATGGGATACAGACCATGTTATCTCATTTTCTAATTTTTTATTTTCTCCTCCTAGTGTTGGAAATTTTGTTTCGTCAAAATGACCGTCAGCAAATCTTGTCTGAAAAACATCGTCTGTTAAAGGTTCAAGATATCTAATAATAGAAGGTGATTCATACCCCACATATATTTCCAACCTCTTTTGAGGTCCCATCTTTGTTCTATGTGGTGGAGATATTGGGACATCTACTGCACAACCAAATATTTTTAAATGAGAAATATTTGGTTCCTTACCAATTGCAAATTGATAAGGTGTATGTTTATGATTAGCACTTGGCCTTAGATGGATGAGTGTTGCAGCATGTAAAATTGCATGACCCCAAACTATAACTGGTAGTTTAGTTTTCATAATTAATGGTCTAGCAATATATTGAAGACGTTTGATTAAAGACTCGGCTAAACCATTTTGTGTATGCACATGAGGAACAGGATGTTCAACGGGATGTTCAACAGTAATTCCAATCGACATGCAATAATTATTAAATGATTCAGATGTAAATTCACCAGCATTGTTAAGTTTAATTTTCTTTATAGTGTAATCAGGAAATTGAGCCCTTAGTTTAATTATTTGTGCAAGAAATTTTGCAAATGTCATATCACGACTTGACAGTAAACATACATATGATCATCTACTAGATGCATCAATTAATACCATAAAGTACTTGAATGGTCTTGACGGTGGATGGATAGGTCCACATATATCACCTTGAATTCTTTCAAGAAATACAGGTGATTTTGTCTGAATCTTACCTGGCGAATGCTTTGCTATTAGCTTGTCAAGAGAGCAAGCTTCACATGGTTTATCTCCTTTTGTAAGTTTTAAACCTTTTAATAGATGACCATGACTACTTTCAACTATTTTACGCCTCATTGTTGAACCAGGGTGACCTAAACGATCATGCCATAAAGTCATCATTTTGGGATCTTCTTTTACTACTAAATTACATTTAATTGCATGTATATAAGTATAATGTAATCCAAAAGGAAATTTTGGTAGTTTTTCTAAAGTTGTCTTCTTTCCCAAAACATTAGTAGTAATGTTAATATATAATCATATTATCTTTAGTTGCAGTTTCAGTATCATATCCTTGACGATATATGTCATTAAAACTCAACAAATTTCTCTTTGATTTTGGAGAGTATAAAGCATTTTTAATGACAAACGTTGTTCCATTTGGTAATATGAACATAGCATTACATGTTCCTTCAATCAAATCTGCAGGACATGAGATTGTATTTATTACACCTTTAGTAGGATTTATTTCAGTGAAATATTTCATACATTTGAGGATTGTGTGGTAGTTCCGCTGTCTGGAATGCAAATGTCTTCAACATGTTCCATGTCTAACCTTCTTGAAATAGAAATAAGATTAAATAGAGAGTAAATCAACACAACATATTTAACCTTAT